AGAAGAGTAAAATAAACACTTACATATAATTAATCACAAAAAAGATAGGAGAAAGTTAGTATTAATTTATTCATGCAAGCATTCAAAATAAATTTAGAACAAATGTGTTTAGCTACTCATAAACATCCAAAAGCTACAAATATACAAAATATTTGATTGATTTTTGTCTGATTTTTTTTCTTATTTGGTTTGTTCTCTGCACTTTTCCCATTTGGTGTAGCCATTCACCTTTTTATCTGATTTTTTTCATCTTTAGACTTTACAAAATCATCAATAAAGAACTAAAAAATACAACAAAAATAGTAGAAATTGTGCCCAAAACTATCAATATAAAGTCAAGTGTGCAAAACCAAATATATAAGATGCACATTTGTTCCTATTTTGGATGTTCAAATATTGTCAAAATATATTAAAATCCAAGAAAATTGTGCTGAAGTAACATAAAATTCTAAAAATTATTAATAATAAAAATTTTAATTTTAAAGCATAGACATATATTCTCAAGTTTAAATTTAATTTCAAAATTAAAAATACTTTATTTTTAAGGGAAAAACAAAAAGGAGCCCAAAAAAGTTGCCCGAGCCCTTTTTTCAAGGCCGGGCTCCAAAGTCTGATTTTTTTAAAAAAATGTTAATTTTTTAAAACCCAAACACTCATTTCCTAGTGGTGGTAATCTAAAGTAGAATGAAAACTTGAATGAAAACTTGAAATGAACTATAAAAGTATGTTTTGACTTTTGAAAACCATGTGAAAGTAGTTTTACTACATTTTTAGAAGCCATACATACTTCCATGCTTAAAGAGTGTTAATAAAGATATTTGTATAGATTACTCGTTAATAAGATTATCACATTATATGGTAGCAAGATTTAAACTTATTAACCCATTTACAAGAAACAAGTTATATTCTAAAAAGTAGTAATAATTATTACGTTTAAAGCAAGATTCCACGATATCATTGTTCTGATGTAGAGAAACAATTGCGTACGTAAGACGCTAATGAGATAAGGCGATCATCAGAAGTAAGTAATTATTGCCTTCTGTGTCTTTTGCGTTCAGAAGATTAGTTTAATTTGAATGTCATAAATCAATAGTTTCCTGGAGTTTTATCGTCTGGCTAGCAAGTCAATCTTTCCCATGAAACAAGTTCTTCTTCTTTTCTTCACCCCAGACAGTATGAGTGTATCCTCCACTTCCTATCTCAAACCACCAAGTAGAGCCATAACATACTCATTACAATAGAGATCATTCAATGATTCATAAATAAAATTACATGGCTTCTGTTAAACAAGTTTCCCTTTCATTACGAACTCTCCTCATTTCTTCCTTCTTGGCTTCTGTTAAACAAGTTTGTTCGCTAACATCTATAACGCCAGAAACTACAAATACGTCAACCTAGGTTGCTTGTCTGACTTTGGCAATGGCCAAAACTCCTAAACTTAACCTTGCTGGCCAATGTGACGCCACGGCCAATATTCATACCAAATTTAGGACGGACATCAAAACTTGCCAAAATAAGAGCATTACAGTGCTTCTCTTTCTCTCCACGGAAGCAACAGAAGTCACTCCCTCAACTGCACCAATAAAGAGAGAATTAGAGAAAAGAGAAGCTCAAATAAAGGGAACAATTCAATATTCAACTCAATTTCTTCAAAACTAATTTGAATACAATTGAGAAACTCTAAGATTATTTATGGAGCCCAAAAATATTAAAATAATAATAAATGACATTTTAACATAATCCTAAAAGATAATAACAAGGACAATCTAGATTTATATATTTAGGTATCCTATTTATTGGAAATAAACAATATCTAAAATAATCATAAAAAATATAGATAAGAAAATCTAATTAAACCCTAAAGAATCTAATGGAGATTCAATATCCTTATTCAAACAATCTTAATAGAATAATCCTAAATATCTAAAATAAAACTAATGGAAACATGACCAATCTTGTGAATGCATGGACCCAATGGACCAGCATGCAAGTTATGAAGTAGGTGTTCTTGGGCATTCTGACATCACCGAATGCGGCTAACATTGGTAGGTTTATTTCCGCAAACGTTCTGACGTCTCAAGTTCTTCTAGTTCTCAAAGGGTCTTCTAAGTATGGCCAAAGTGGATATAGCAAAGCCATTAAAGATAATGTCTAAAGAACTACTCACGAGTGTTAGCTTTTTAATTGTCAGTTGATCACTGAAACTGCTGTCATTGATCAGGTCCTACTTCTGTGATAGATATACCATAAAAAATAATTAATAAAATTAATTAATATATTTCCAAAATAATATAAATTTAATTTCTAATTTATATTTATGCATATGAAAAGAAAAATTATTCATTAGAAAGGTCCTACTTCCATAAGAGGATTCAAACCCTTATCTTGGTATGAATTACATCTTTAATTTGCAGTGGGGACTAGCCATAGTGGGTTATAATTTCTTAATTTCTATTTATATTTGTTAATTTGAGTTGATCCTAGTGTTTTTAAAAATTTATGGCAAATATACGTCTTCAGTGATTTAATATTTCACAACTTTTGTTGTAATCCCTTAATTTTATAAAGTGTTTTTTCAATCCGTTAATCCTAATACAGTTAGTGTTATTAACAAAAAATGCTGACATTAAATTTTTAAAGGTTGACAAAATATTCTCCAATAGTGAAATATTAAGTTTTTTTTTTCAAGTGACAATGACTGGCATAAAATGTTTTTATTTAACTAATGGGTGAGAATTAGAGGACTGAAAAATTTCATAAAACTAAATATCCAAACTGAAACCTTACATAAAGTTAAAGAATTAAACTAAATAACCAATGTGTCTCACATTATATCGGTCATTTAAGTTTTATTTATAATCTGTTATCCGTAACTTTACCTCAAATTTTCACTATTCTTTCTTCTTTTTTATTTTAATTTCATTTATTAACAATTTTATTATGCTTTATTTTTCCCCTTAATTTTATGTTGTTTCTTGTGTTTCATTAATTTTGAAAAATAAAATAATATTTTATTTAGAAATTAATGAATACACTTTACAAGAAAAATATTTGAATGCGTTGTTGGTAATGGATGAAAGTGAGATGCAAAAAAAAAGTGAAATGTAAAAAATAAAAAAAAAATTAGCATTAAGCAAAGAGATATAGAATGAAATAAAAAGTAAAAATATGGGGAATCCGGAAAATGCATATTGAACCGGACCCTACACACACACACACAAATTTATCGCCAATCTTACCATAAGATTACTTGAAGTCATAAAAAATTAATGCATTTATAATCCTCACGAAATAGAATCTGTCAATTCAAATACGTTTACAGTTCTTCTGTCTATTCTTTTCACATTTTGAAAGCCGATACATCACAACCTTGCTTGAAATTTTTTTAATATGGCTTAATTTTTTACAGACATTTTTTTCCCTACGAATTCTCAACAAATTGTATTAGAAGCCAAAGTCTCAAGTTTGAATTCAAATGGCTCAAAGAAAAAAAATGTTCGAAAAAAAAATGATATCAATGAAAAGATATAGGTTCCAATACTTCCATTAAAAAAGAAAAAAATGTTTTCCTTAATGTATGGATATTATTTTATGTATTTGTAATTTTTCAACAAGATCTTGCCGTGAAAGGAATGCCGTGTTTTGATGGGCAAAGAGGACTTTGACTTCTTCTTCTTGTCATTTTACATGCGACTGAAAATTCCTCAGAAGAAAATAATGAACGTGATAAGAACATACCACTTGAGTCATGAGTGATGGTGGTAGTTACGGAAATATTAATCATGCTTTTAATATATTATTTATCTTTCTTGAAGGGAAAGACTTGTGTTTATGAAGTCTCCAATGACATTATTTGCTCCGTGTCACTTGAGCTTGACTTGAGCATATTCCTTTCATATTATTTAGTCAAGGGCTCAAGGCTGTCAAACTGTTCATATTAATAATGGTGAGGATTTCTTGTTAAATTTTAGTTACCTCAAATATCGATTTGGTCCTTTAAATTAAATTTTTATTGATTTGATACCTAATATTTTTTATAATTATCATGTGAGTCCTTCAAACTTTAAAACACAAACTGAGTCTCAAATTAATTAATCTAATGTGTATTAATTTTAGTTGTGGCTTGTGAGACTTTTTTCTCTAATATTTTTCCTATTATTTTATCTCCATTTTCTGCTTATTCTTTTTGATGAGCTTGCTTGAGTCTCTTGGGTCTCAGATTTTTTTTTTCTTATCTTCTCATTTATTTCTTCTTTTTGCTTGTTTTTTTCTCAGCCCTCTGTTTCTTTTTTCCTTTTTTTTTTCCTCTCTTCCTTTCTTTTTTGATGTATTCTGAATTGATTAGCTCTTGATATCATGCCAAAAAAGCGATATACATGAGACTCGTTGGAAATATGCATCAATCATTCATCTAAATAATTGTAATTAAAATAAATTCAGCATGGCAACTCAAAACTCTTACAATTTTTTTCCTTCACGAAATACTACAATCACGTACACCGGAATTTACTTAGATGATAAAAAAATCTATACAAATGTGTTTACGTTTTAGCTAGAAAATTACGCACCTAGCTCTCACTTTCCCAGAGACAATGAACAAGAGCTCAGCTAATGTTAAGACGTGTGTGAAATGCCTCTCTTCCACCTCCTTTTTCTTCAACTCACGAAGGGCAAACAGGTCATTGTCCCTTCAACCTTATTTACGGTTAAGTCCCCGGAACCTCACAGCTATTGCCTATTTGTGCATTTAGTGGGACTTTTAAATGTTTAGAATAGTTATGTGGGATTTTAAAGTGATTTTCCATAAGTTGTTAAAATAAGTTGTTAAAACTTGAATGAATATTTGTTAATAAAAAATTAACCCAAATTGACAAGCATCAATTTGAGTTTTGATAACAAATAATCTTTAACTAATATAAATTTCCTTCAGCAATCTTTAATTGATATTTTCCCTTCTTTGAATGCTCTTATAGGGTAAAACTACCAATTCATTAACATAGTCTTCTTGTCAACCTTCGGTGTCAGCCAAACGCCGAAACTTAACCTTGGCATCCACTGCCATCCCGACGGCGACACCTGCACCGTCTTTGGCTCCGAGCTTAATGCCAGCCAAAGTCAATGGTATCAAAGTGCTTCTCTCCCTCGGCGGTGTTTCTAGACTCTACTCTCTGAGCTTTGCCAATGATGCCATCCAGGTTGCTCAATATCTTCGGGACCACTTCCCCAAGGGAAAGTTCTGACTCAAGGCCCTTGGGCAACATTGTTTTGGATGGCGTCAACTTCGACATTAAGACTAGCAATGGGAAGCACTGGGACAAGCTGGCTAGAGCTTTGAAGAATTTTGACCAGCAACTGATTCTCTCGGTGGCACCGCAATGTTTGATAACCCTATAAATCTGTTACTTGGACTCTGCAATTAAAACAGGGTTCTTCAATTATATTTGGGTTCAGTTCTACAACAACGCTCCGTGTCACTACAATGGAGAGACACTAACAATCTTTTGACCACTTGGAACCAATGGACCGCCGTGCAGGCCGATCAGGTGTTCTTGGGGGTTCCAACATTGGTGGGTGTGGTGGCAAACGGTGGGTTTCTTCCAACGGACGTGATGATTTCTCAGGTTCTTCCAGCATTCAATCAGTCTTCCAAGTACGGTAGAGTTATGATCTAGGACAGGTCCTTCTATCTCAAAAGAGCATATGGTGACGTCATTAAGGCATCAATATAAGTGTTTATCTTTGTACCTAGCTTTGAACTCGAAACTTCTAATTAAGAGGGATCAACTTATTATCAGTTGATCCATAGCTAGTGACAGTCTTTACTTTATAATATGTGGGAGATTGGTAGTGTTTGTTTCTACGCACATATTATGAGTGAAATAAAATTCACGTTCGCATGTAAAAGATGAATTTGAAATAAATAATAAAATGAAAAGAGTTTCAATTTTGACTTTCATCTTGATCGGATTAGTGCGTTATCACGTAAATAATTTAGTAAAGCAAAGTAGATTATGTATCTCAACATTTATCATCGTCTGTGAATGGTTTAAAACTAAAATGAATGGGGGAAAAAGTAATAACAAATATTTTCTTTTATTATTCAAGGATAATTCATGTTTTGGGGGAAAAAGTAATAACAAATATATTGTGACATTAACAGAGTTTTAATTTCTCAAAATTGTATAACATAGCTAAGCTATTCCATCTAACTGAAAACATATTTACGATTGAACTCTCTTATCTTTTTTTAATTCAAGGATGGCTATAACATAGGCTTTTTTCTTCCCCTTATGCATAGGCTATAGTAGTTATTAAGACAAGAAAAATGAGAATGAAGCTCCAAATGTCTTTAAAACTTTAAACTCTTGATCCCAACTCTTCCAATATAATGCCCGAGTCATAGCTAAACAATGCCCCCAAAGTGCCTTCAAGGAGAAAGTAGAAATATTTTTTTTAAAGTTTTGATTATAACAAAGTTAGATAATATTTGTGCGTTTAACATGTTTAATTTACTCAGAAATATGGTAAGGAAGTAAGTTTGATGGCTTAAAATTCCTATCTCTTCATTTTGTCAAACTCTTGAATGGATTTGGTATTCAAAGTTAATACGCATATGGATCTACATGCTTACACGTGTGTTTCAACTTCTGCCATATTCTCATACACTTGTGAATCAATATGCGTACACACGTGTTTCGTCTTATGTCATATTTTTCAAATCTTCAAAGTTTTGTTTTGATTATTCGAAGTGTCTATGCCTTTGTGGTTAAGTTACTCTAAACTTTGAATTTCTGTCTGAAAAACTTTGAAGTTTCTATGGCCTTTGTTATTTCATTGTCAATCTTCGAAGTTTGAGTAGCTTTTGTGCATCTCTCAAATAAGTTTCCAAGTTTGTATGGCTCTTCGAGAAGTTTCTATATTCAGAATATTTTGTCCCTTCTAGTTTAAACTTTGAAGTTCTTCCTAAACTTCGAGGTTTCTCCATGTCATGTTGTTTCTCTAGGCTTCAAGCCCAAATTTCAAAATTTCTCTAAAACCTCAAAGTTCTTTCCTTCAAAACTTCTCTATTGATTTTAATATTCTTTGAAGTTTCCTCTCGTGATTCCTAGTTTCTACTTTTGCTTCAAAAATTTCAAAGTTTTCCTCTCTAAATGTATTGGCAATTATTTTGAGCTTATTTGTCATGCCAAAAAAAAAAAGATGTGACCAGCACGGAATATATACACAAACATACATCCCTTAAGCTTTGATTAAGGAAAGTTCTTAATTAATGCATCTAATACACTATTAGTATGATTATATGTATCTAATTTTATTTTTCATATAAATCAAATATTCAATCTTTTTGTAGAAATTTTGACAGCACCTTCCCTAAAAGTAGTATGTCCTGAAATCTTTAGAACATAAATTTTACAATATACATCTAGCAATACGGAGCTCTACTGCTTAGCAACAGATAGACAACATTACAAAAGAGAATTAGGACTCTAACTATAGTCAATGTGGAGCATTCTAAATGGTATTTCCAAAACATACTACAAAGATTTTTGAATTTACATAAAAGGAAAATATTCTCACTATTAATCTTCTAGTCAATTTAGCAATGAACCTGTCAAAGTTTAGTAGGAGATACCACGTTAGCTAGCAATCTAAGACCAAATAAAATATTTTTCAGTAAATGACATCCAAACCATAACATTTTGTAAAATTAAAATGAATAAAATATAATAGATACATAAATTAAATGAGAAAGCAATTCAATGTAAACAAAATTGTTAACTTGAAATAAAAGTTATATATAACTTCAATGATAAGAACATTTAAATCTATAATGACAAAGCATCTTTAACATTTGATCTTGACAAATCAAAATAATTAAATAAATAAATAAGAATAATAATATTTACTAAATTTAAAACTATTATGTATGAAATCACCAATTAATTAAAATTTCATATATTTTTAGGGATTTATTATAACAATTCACAAATGTGAACACACAGTCCTTGGGGGTAAATAACCAAACATGACTTATGCCACAAAGACAAACATGAACACACAGTCCATGAGTGTAAGTAACCAAATGTAGCTTGAGCGACAAAACAAACGTGGACACACAGTTCATGATGGTAATACTAACTAAACGCAGCTCAAAGCCATGAAAACAAATGTAAGTGTTAAACTCATGAATAACAAACGTGAGAATAGAGCCCATGAACATCAAACTAGCTAGTTATTAAGCATGACATGCCAAATGCTAACGGAACTGTCGTTAGCAACCAGTGTTCTGTATAAAGTCCCCTCCAAATTCATTTTCAAACACGTGAGAAAGTCATTACTATTAAAATAAAATTTCATTCTCAAAATTAAACTCGTATGAATAGTTTTAATAATCAAAACTTGCTAGGATAAAATTTCATAACTAATTTCATGCTTGCATTTATGGGAAAACCAAAATTACTAGGGCTGATAAAAGTAATTTCATCAATCTTGAAAGTATCCTTTGTAAGGAAAAACATATACACATGTCATAATTCAAATATCCTTCAACATCTCTTTATAATTTCCCGGAATAAAAGTAATTTAATTAACAAAGGTCATCAAGTAAGATTGTAAGTAATTAAAATTTCTCGCACCCCAAACTTCAATCTCAATCCTAAATAAGTCATCAAATAGCTTATAAATAATTACCATGATTGTCATAGTTGAATAAGATTGGCCAATTAGACCAATAACTAGCCTTTAGTCTAGTCCGGCCAACCATAAGAACTAGAGGAAAAGTGAATTAACCAAGATAGAGGTGGTCCAAACTAATGAAAATTGATAAAATTGATCAAAAATCAATTTTTGACTTTTTTGTTTTTAAATAATGTCAATAGCCCAAACAATACTACTTCTAAACATGTGATTATTAATTAATTAATATTTTCAATTCAACCATCTTTCATTTCCTACTCTAGCTAGCTCTATATCCATTGTTCTACTTTTAAACTTGTGTTCTTGTGATAACTTTTTTTTTTAATATTCATAAGTCAAATTTCGCCTCAATGTTGGACTCCACAACGCCACCACATTCTAGAGCCAATGTCCCTAGTACCTCCACTCCATAATACTTCACTTAGCCTCCTATTGATTGAAACCCTCTGTGAGCATATCAACCTCTCATCAATAACACCAATGTATGAGCATAAATTTAAAGGGAAAGCTCATTCTAAAAAACTAACCTACCAAAAGAGAAAGCCTATTGAACTACTTATAAACCCCATGGATATTGGGCTTCTTGATGTTGGGCTCATAATATTATCTCTCATGGAAGGTTTACATGACAATGAAAAAAATCATCAACATCATTATCAATGTATATTATAAAAATAAAATCAGGAAGTGCTGTTGTAACACTTTTTATCTAACCTTGTTTTGAGTAATTAAATATACAAGCATATGTGATGGTGAAAATTAATGGCAAAATGACATTTAAGGCTTTCAAGGGAATTTATTGTAATAAGAATCCATAAGTTTTGCATCCGATATTGTCTTATGAAAACATGCATGTGCTGTTAAAAACTAAACTTACTTGTTAAATTTCTAAAGAAACCCTAACAAAAAATACAAGTTAAGGTTAAGCTTTTAATAACATTTACTTGTTTTTAAAATTAACTATGATCAATCAAATGGGCTCTAAATAATAATTTTGAATTAATTACTCTTCTACTCCAATTTATAAGATCATACTCATTAGTTCTTCAATAACTTTACAAAATTTAATAAAATATTTACAACTCATTTTTTAAAAACCCTCTTGTCTATCTTTAACTTCTAGCTTAATTGATAGCTTTTCCATCCTTTCTTCCTTCGCTAATGAACTACTCTATCAATCAAAGGGGGTGGTTTTGAAATGTTGTAAATTAAACGTTTTTGTGGGCATTTGACTAATTGTAACTAATTTTTTTAATCTCATGAAAATAGTTGACAAGGGCTAGCTTCTTATAATAAAGACATAAGAAGTATTGGAATTCAAAATTTGAATTTCAATCTATTCAACTTTTCAATGACAAAAGTGGAATCAAAATTTCTCCCAACCCAAACTTCAATCTCAATCCCAAATAGGGCATCAAATAGCTTCAAAATAATACCTTGATTGTCAGAATTGAATAAGATTGGCTGGTCTGATAACTAGCCTTTAGTCTAGTTCAGCCAACCATAATAATCAGAGGAAAAGTGAATTAACCAAGACACAAAGTTGATCAAAACCAATAATGAAAATCATAAAACTGATCAAGAATTAATATTTCATTTTTTAAATAAAATTTCAATAGCCCAAAACAATACTATTTTATGTTTTTAAATGTCTTGTGATTGGTTTGTCTCTATTGTTACACACACACACACACACATATATATATGATGAGGATGATTCAATGGTAATTTTTATTAATTATGAAAGCTTGTGTTAGTTTGGTTACACAATTAATGTGACATACACTCCCTCCGTTTTTAAATATAAACAAATTTTAACCCACTATCATAGTTTTAGAAAGTTAGTTAATCACAATAATTATATCTAAAATTGAAAAGTCTAGACTAAATCTTGGTAATTTGAGATGAAAAAAAATAGTATTTTATTATAATTTTGGTGGGATTAACCATAAACTTGCCATGTATTATAAGAAGT